GAGGCTCAAATGAAGGTCCTGATGTATCACAATCTCCTTTGCAACCAATCCTTCAGCCACACGCGTGCACGCACATGCACACGCCTTCATTTGTTTGCATCCTGGCTCGGATTAAATGAGAAAGCGGCCCAAGAAATTTTTGACCTGGTTTCGACGCCTTTTTTTTTAATTTCTTGTACTTGTCGCATTGCACGGTGGGTCCTGGACTTTGTGCTGAGTGGTGACCCCACCCCCGCACCTCTGTTATTCTCCACCATTTGGTGTTTCCTCCCTCCCTGCCTTCCTCCCCGGCGATGTGAGCATGGCACTTTGCTCTGTGTCAACATGAAGCATCCCCTCTAATCCCAGTGAATACTCTCACTCTCGACTCTACTCTGCTTCATTCCAACGGCCGTCGCGTTAGCTTCCCGAAGGTACCCTTGAGCAAAGCATTAAGCCACAGTCACTCACCAGCATGAGAATCAATGGGCTCTTTGTGGTTTAATGCATGCATCAGGATGGCCAGAAAAATAATGCAATAGAATAATGTATGACCTCCAAAATAATCACATTTACGGGAAAAAAAGTGTTTTCAAACATCCCGTGGGAAAAATGTGTGACTGGTCTGTGAAGTGTGTGCTGCCCTGGCACACACTCAAACATTAGGACCCGATTGGCGGCAACCGTCTTGGGCATCATTTAGTGTCTGGACAGGCAGAGCCTCCCAGAAGCTTTGCACCATTGTGGACATCGATCATTATGCCACACGTATGCTCATGCCCACTTTGTACTCGTGCATTCCTTGTGTACAATTCTGGAATTGCGCAGCCATGCAGTGTACTGTCATGCCCCTGCGAATTCTTAACGAGCTTTTTGTATGTGATGTTTGCTTGGAAGCTTTGTGTACGTTTGTGTGTGTCGTGACACTTAATTGGATTCCGGTCAGCGTTTGTCATTTTTCACTCCACTCCCGGCCGCCACATTTGCTTCCTCCTTCTCCTTCTCATCCCTCCCTGGTTGTTTGAAAAACAGCAGAGGAATCGATTGGCGGGTGCAGCATCTCATCTGCCTGCCTTCCTTCACTGATTGGCCTCTGGAGTGTTTGACTGCGTACAGTATGCCCACAGACTTTAGGGTGAGGTAGTCACCAGAAATACACATACAGTCGTGTCTCAAGTCATCTTTCCTCATTGAAATGAATGGAGATGCCATTAATTAGTTCCAGCCTCCCCCTGTTAAAAATAAACATTTCCTGGTGAGAGGCTGAAATGAGAGGATTTGTACAATTCGAAGTTAAACAATGACTGCAAACGATTAATGATGATCAATTAGGTGTTGATTAAAAAAATGGGACATCTCCACTTGAAATTGAACAGTATTTTACAGTTGTGACGCGGCAGAACTGCTTAGCTGCCACATCAGTTGCAATCAAACAGTTGGGTTTTATGTGTGTGTATACAAAACACTAATTTCTATGGTATTTGTCCGACGCCAGCCATCTGGACTGTGAAGGGGGAAAAAAAATCTAATTTATATGACAACAAATAGAACCTGTAATATGATTGGACAAAAAAATAAATGAATCAAAAATTACTGTAAAGTACAGATCGAGAATACTTTGACTGCATCTTAATAAAAACACAGCTGTTCAAGCAACTTCAAATATTATATGAATCAAAATATACGGTATTTTTAAATACTTTTACCTGCCTTGATTCTTTGAAATTGCCTGATGCAGCACAGCCTCTCATTTAATGCATGAAACTTTGGTCATGTCTTAATATTTCATTTTTGAGATAGAACAAACCCATTATTTACTGCTTGCTTTTAGGCGCTTTTTTTTTTTTTTAAAGCTATTGACATTCTAATCTGGTTCGTGCACATGCATCTTATCACGGCACCGCAGAAACTGTAAGGCATCATTAAGATTGAAAAGCGTGAAAGCGACATGAAAAAAAAAAGAAAAAGATTAAAATGAAGTCAAGATAAGGCGAATTCTGAACAAACCTTCAATTTGGGAATAAAATAAGCAGAACATCTCAAAGCGTGCATCTCTCCAACAAAGAAAGTGTCTTTGATGTGCGAGATAGTGACGAAAAGAGGGTTTTTTTTTTTTTTTTTTTTTTTTTTTTGTGAGGGGGTTGCTTTTATTCTCATGCAAGCGAGTGGTGATTAGTTTGATTGCAGCAGCACAACTTGCAGTCGACAAGCATAGCAGGCTGTCATTCGGGGATAAGCGATTGTTGCGGAAAGCGCCCCCCCCCTGCCCCCCATTGCAGTGCTCAAGGTTTCAACCCCAATTATATGAAGAAAAAAAAATACACACACACACACACACACACACACACACACACACACACACACACACACACACACACACACACACACACACACACAGTAGTCAAGTTGCTAATGAAATGACCACATCAGGGATTGTCGGGCGGTGAGGTGAGTGTTGTAACTCAGCAACAGAAGACGTTGCTGTGATCGGAGTTGATTTTTTTTTTTTTTTAACCACCTGGCTCATGCATTTCATTGTAAATTATAAAATAGCTCATGATGGATTTTGTAAAGGGCAGCCCGGTGGTCCAGTGGTTAGGCAACCTGTCCCTTGGTGTGAGTGTGAGCGCGGTTGGTTGTTCGTCTCTGGGTACCCTGCGATTGGCTGGCAACCGGTTCAGGGTGTCCCCCGCCTACTGCCCGAAGACGGCTGGGATAGGCTCCAGCACCCCCCGCGACCCTTCTGAGGATAAAGCGGATCAGAAAATGGATGGATGGATGGATGGATGGATTTTGTCAAGTCGCAAAAAGCTCAATGGAAATTAGGCTGTGCCAGTTGTTCATTGGCATTTTTCATTTTCTGGTGACTTGTACTTATTTGCACAGGGCCATAAAAATGCCATCAATACAAATCAGTCATTTGTAGAAAGAAAATGTGGTCAAAGGGAACAGAAACAAAACGGAGGCCTGATGTTTGCGTGCATGTATGTGTACATGCGCCCGCGTGTGTGTTTGCGTGCTCGTGCGAGGCAACCGAGCGGAACCAAAGAGTTGAATGGTACACACCTGACAAGGTGTTGACGTCCTCGATGTCATCCGGCAACAGCAGAGACTCTCAAACTGACAGGCGTGGAGAAAAATGAAAGACACTTTTTTTTCTTTTTTTTTTTTTTTTTGCCTCACTTATACCTTCTCATTTTAATTACGTGAGCTTCAGTCACTGTCGCACAAGAATCCACTCATAAAAGAGAGAGAGGGAGAATGGTCCCGAAAGCAGCAAGAATAGTCAGCAGCGTTGTACAGTATGTAACAATGCAGTAATTAGTTAACGAGTACTCTTCAGCGTATGTAGACAGTCTGACAACAAGAGTCACGGGATGAATGTATTGATTTGTTTTGTTATTTGCAAATCTATATTACATTGACCTAATCAGTCGATCAGCACTTCATTAACCTTGGCGACAAGTTGATTTTGTCGTGTTTGCAAACACACACACACACACACACACACACACGCATTTTAATCCTGGACATTACATTCCTAATAACGTGCAATCACTGTTGTTTACACTACAGCCTTGCAGCAATCGAATCCAATCAGCGCGTCTGATTTACCTGTGGTCAAGAGCTCGCCTAATCATTTGTCATAAACGTCGCCCTGGGCCTCGGAGAATGATGCGTAAAAAACTCTGTCTCAAACTTTTCACAACAAGAAGTACTCAGCTCTCCAAAGGCCATCGGAATGACCAACGTTGAAGGACAAGAGCATAGTAGGTCTCCGTTCTCATTAAAAAAACAACAACTTTTTTTAGTGTGATAAAAATGGATGTCCGTAGAAATTGCATGTGAATGTTGGATGCCAAAATATGTGCTTTGTCTTTATTGGGTTTTTCACCCCGGACATGTAAAAGCCAATGCAGTTATCGCGCCTCTTCTGGTCGTCATGGTAACGTAAGCCCATTGCCCCGTAGCAGTATGTATAATCATCCAAGTTATCTTCCAACAATCTTAAAAGTAAATGACAAATGATTTGAGTCAGAAAAAAAAAAAAACGCAGGGAGTCCATGTGGAGAAGACTCTTAAATTCCATGAACAACCCAGGCTAAAATTAACGTCTCCCAAAGCTCGTCTCTCAGCCAAAATCAACCCCTTCTACATTTACTTTCTTGACCTCAATTCCTATTTGAAGAAGGATTTGGCAGCATCTTTGAAAGAGCACAAAAACAACTCAAAAGAGAGTGTTTTGCGTGAATGACCGTCTTGTCAGCCGATCCCGTAACGTCCGACTTTGACTTTGTTCAGCTGCCCGAGCCGCATGCCATTGTGTGCCAATGGATGCGAGGGTGCTGCGCGTTCATTCACACGGCAAAGCAAATGTCCTGGGCGTCATGTGCGGCCGCCGTGTGAACTTTTCAAAAGAAGCGTGCGCCGAGACTGATGGCCCGCTGTAAATGTCACGGGGATGCTATCGTCTCACGCCTCCGCCCGCCACTCACGCTCATTCCGTCTTTATCCATCTGTTTTTGTCAGACGAAATGATGTTGACTCTTCCGACCATGGCCTTCTCTTATTGACTTTGCCTGCAGTTTAAAAAAAAAAAAAGCTCTCTTAGCCCATCCTTTCTCCGCGTTGCTCAAATGCTAATTATGTGTTTTATTTGGTTTTGATTCAATTTATCTTTGTTGTGTTGTTCTTTTATTTCATTAAACAACAACAGCAACAACAACAAAAAAAAAAACACATTTTTAATTTCCTGGCGAATTCTCTGGGGAGAGTTCCTTCATTTCATTTGTACGGAAATTAATTTGTCAAAGTGGGAAACAGGATACTTACGAATCTGTTTAGCCAGCGTTTTGCTGCCACTCATTTCTTACCATGTGATATTGAAGTAGAAAGTGAAGACACAGGACATTGCAACCACGCAATGAGGATTGTGTTGACTTCCCTAACTACATTTATTAATATGAAATTAAATACAGTATGCCACGACGCGAGGAATAAAGTATTGACCAATACAGAAGTATTGTAATCGTAATTTTATTCGGGGGTGTCCGCGGCTGCAAAGAAGACGATTTTGAATTCGTTGACGGTACATTGGAACCTCAATTTAATGAAGTAATTGGGGTCGGTGGTCGTCCATTCGAGCCGATTGTCCATTACATCCAATGACTTGTTTTGTGTCCTAAACCCACCCAATACAGAGCAAAATTATTGTCAAGAAATATTTTTAAAAAGCTTCAAACTGAAAAATTTGAACATTGATCCAAACGTACCTTTTTGTTGGTTGGAGCTGGTCACCTTAATTAGCGCTTGGTTTTTTTTTTTTCACTTCAGTTGTGATTAGATGTCATAGATAAGAGCTTTAGAAAAAACATCGATGCACTGTCCTAAAAATAGCATGTTGGAAAGAGTGTACACGATTAGTTCCTTTGTGTTAAAAAATAAAAAAAACGGAGCTATGAACAAGACATGCTCCCTTGAGCTACATGCTTAATGTTGATGCTAAGCTAAAGTTCATGAATCCTTGCTAGCATAACCCACCACGTACAGCCGTGCATTTCCTTTGATATAACATCGCGACTACCAACATAGTCCATACATTGATGTGTGTTTTAGCCTGCTCTAGTCTACTCTGAGTCTGTTTATTTATGAGAGAGTAGCGCAAGCCGCAAACCAGTCCGTCCGATGATGACAACATAGTGCTGTTGGCTGCCCTGTGGTGAAGTGCACTCATTGTGCTGAATTTTAGAAGTCACAGACTTCAACAGATACTCTTTAAAGCTGAATCCAGGATCCGTTGTTTAGAATCTGTTCAACTGAGGTTCATCTGTATTTTTTTTTTCTATGTTTTGGAAACTTAGCAAATTCAACAAATTCAGTTCACATCATGGAAACCCATTCATACATTTTTCTTATTTTTCAATTGGAAATAAGAAAATATTTTTCCAGGAGTGCCTTCAATTTCCTCGTTTCCTGTGACATTTTTTTTTTTTTTTTTTAGTGAACACGATGACAATTGGCACCAATGCAAGGAAGCAGAAATTGTTATTCAGCCTTTGTGCAAACTGCAATTTACTCTAATATCGACCCACACATCAATCAGACTGTGCGGATACTCTCTCACTTCTGAATTTTCATCCTGTTTACCATGTAAAATACACAGAGTAAATATTGACACCCCCCACCCCCTTCCTCAAAGTCCAAAGTAATTCCAAAAAGTGTCTGGCAGAGAGAGGATGAAGCGCTGTGCAACGCGTGTGTCCCGGCCCTCGCGGCCATCTCTCTTTGCAAACTCCAGCAGGCTCTCCGCTTGTTGTCGTGTGTTTGGCTGAGATATGGACGCTCGCCGCCCGCCCCGCACGTTTCTTCTCTGTAGTCCGCCCACTCCTCTTAGACGTTGAACAAATTGATTTCGGCCGTTGATTATCTCGCAGGCGCGTTTCGTGACTTACGACTGACTGGCTCCCGTCCACTTGCTTCTGCAGTGGTACCTTGGCTTACAAGTACGCCAGCTCCCCAGTTTATGAGCTTTTTCCACTTAACGAGCCTTCGCTTGGTTGATTGGTTGAGCTTCAGATGCTGTATTCAAAAATTATAGTGACGCATAATTGAAAGGGGCAAAGAGTCAAACTCAGTTTTAAGTTTGAAATTAGTGAATAGCTCATCGCATTTTTGGGTGGAATCTCGTTTTCCTCTCGACCGATTTCAGAAAACTTTCAATTCTTTCAATAATCCGTTGCGCTGAAATAATTTACGGAGTGGCGAAATCTCCGGCTATCAAGACAACACTGTCTTCATATGCCCGCGTCGGTCAGAGAGTACAAAATTAAGATGGTTGGTGGATCAGACTAGCTGATTAGCCTCGCTAGCTTCAGCTATTTTGATCGCTCCTAAAATAACGAGGAAAGCAGCGGGATCGGATTAATCAGGAAATTTGACTTCATATAGGAGTAAAGGGAGTTACAAGTTTGTTAACGGAATAATTTAGATTCGTAAGTCAAGGTACCGCCGTATTTAATTGGAGATGTGACTCTGTTCCATCGGCCATCATCAGGCCCGAAACACGGCGGGAGGCGTCACACGGCGAGTCCCGCGGGCCGTGTCGTTGAAGGCTGAGGATCTGATGCATTACCTGTCTCCATTGGTGATACCTGACACATTAGCTGAGAGGCAGAGATCGAGACCTGAGACATGGGGAGCAAGATTCATTTTCGGCTGCTAATTTCTCAGCTGTAGTCTGGACATGTTGCTCTTTTCAACTTTTTGTCTCTGGCGGAGAAGCAGCTGATAGAACGACATCCAAGTCGGGCCTTCACATCCTCGGGCGTTTCTATTCTGCGCTCGAGCAGGAACAATTCTCAAATGATTTTGGTTTTTGGCACGATTGTTGCGGGAGGTTGGTTTTTGTTGTTTTTGCCAAGGTGTGTGTTTCTTGTGTGCATTTTTTTGTTGTTGTTTAGCTAGCCAGCGGCAGTTGCGTACATTGAAACCTGCGGTGGTCATCGCAGGCCACATTGGAGGCAGGTTGCTTTACTCTTGGGCTGTCCCCCGCATCTGATATTTGTACGTTTTTAACATTAGTTCAAAGTGTTGAAAATGAGCTTGAGAACAAATATTATGAACGCTTAAACTCTGTCTGGGGAGTTTTCTGCACCTCTGCTTCTTCTTGCGTTCAGCGTAATTCGTTGAAATTTTGGATGTTTTTTTTTTTGTTTTGTTTTTTTTGTAGACAATCGTGAAAGAAAATAGCTTAAATAAATTTGAGTAAGCCTGTTGCATAAGTCACAACTGTCAAGCAAGTCCCGAGCAAGTGATAAAATGACACGGAATTTCGGTCTTGTCCTGGTGTTCCATTTGGTGGCTCGAGCAGCAACAGTTATGTGGCTTTTGAGGGATTATGATCCTTTTTTTTTTTTTACCCTAACCTTGATGATTTTGTAGCCCATTATCTCCATTTAGCATATTCCATCCAAGATAAGTGAAGTCAAAGGCCGTGCCGTGTCGCTTGAAATGGTCATTAGCATAACCACCAGCTCACCATTTAGACTCCTTCCTGTCGAAACATCTGGCGCATAACTTTCCATAAATATGACACTTTCTTTCTGCGAGTGTAATTATACCGCTTCTCTTAAATCAAAATGATTTTCAACAGGCGCTGAAAGCCACGGAAGCGTAAAATCCGTGTGTACAGTACAGTACACGGGTAATGAATATTCAAGCAGGATTGGACGGCAACCAATAAAGCATTCATCATGAGATGAGGTGGAGCTGCGGCAGTGCTTTTTTATTTATTTATGTATTTATTTATTCTTATATTGATATAAATGATGTTCCGATCAAATGACTCATCAACCTCTCTGCTTAGACTCTTCTCATTTAGAGATAATTATGCATTAAAAAGATGAGAACCTTCATCCATCCATCCATCTATTCATCCATCCATCCACCCATTTTCTGATCCGCTTTACCCTCACAAGGGTCGCGGGGGGTGCTGGAGCCGATCCCAGGGCAGTAGGCGGGGGACACCCTGAATCTGTTGGATGATGGCTAGCTTGGGAATTTCTCCATTGTGAGATAAATAAAGGTTTTCTGATCTTATCTTATCTTTTCCTTGAAATCGGCCGGATGTTGCTCCGCCACAGTCATCCTTGCCCGGATGGATAGATGGCACCTTTTCATAAAACAAAAGCACCCCTCATCGAAGTCACACAACAGCCTGCGTGGGTTTTCTCCGGGTACTCCGGTTTCCTCCCACATTCCAAAAACATGCATGGTCCCCCGCCTACTGTCCGAAGACGGCTGGGATAGGCTCCAGCACCCCCCGCGACCATTTGTTAGGATAAGCGGATCGGAAAATTTAATGTTTGGATGGATGGATGGATGACAGCACCGACAATTTAATTTATTCTTCATGGCCGATGAATAAAATTTGGAAATCAGCCCAGATTCCAATGATTTCATTGCGATTCCGAAATGCCGAATTATTTAAACGATGACAACTACAATTCCCTCTGCTCTTACTATTTTTCCCCTCTCTTGGAAAAACTCCAACTCCGGGCTCTCTGACAAATTTCCTTCTATCTCCAACGCGCTCGTTCCCCAGACGAAACACTTTGTTCAGGTTTAAACTGCACACTTTTAACGAGGTGAAGTTTTTCATGTAACGCGGGGTGGGATTCAGTTGACGATCATTTGTGTGAGGTCGCCAAAGTGTCATCACACTCCATTTGCAGCAAGAAGGATCGTCGGCGGCGAGGGAAGAGCGACGGCCCTAAATGAGGCGTGTTGAAGAATAGACAACGCGACACCAACGATTAAGTCACCGTTCCGTCGTCCTCCGGCCGGGATGATTTTTGTTACTTTATCCATCTTGTACAGAAACGTGGCCTCGCGCACCCCGGCGTAGACATAAAACATAGATCAAGAGGAAAGTTTCCATGAGGAGAGGAAGAAAACGAGTGCGCTATCGCTCTCTCAAGTCCAGGGTTGATTGCACTGAAAGCATAGGAAAGTGAGGGGGAGGGATAGCTTTGGAGAGTTCAATAATACATCTGATGTCTCTCTTCTTGGGCGCAACACACACACCTTACGTAATCTTGAAAGCTCTTTAAATACCGTATTTTCGCACTAGAAGGCGCACTGGACTATGAGGCGCACCGTCAATGAATGGCCTATTTTGTCATTTGTTTGTACTCCGCAGGTACTTCAGTTTCCTCCGTTTACTCTGGTTTTCTCCATTTCTTTTGATTTTGTTTGTTTTATCGCAGCAAATCGGTTTTCTTCGGGTATTCTGGTTTCCCCGGGGTTTTCCCCTTTGGTTTCTGTTTTGCTCCCTGCACCTCCTGTAGATCAACTTTCTCCACGTTCTCCAGTTTTCTCCATTTCCTCTAATTTTCTTCATGTCGTTTTCTCCAAGGTACTCCGGTTTTCTGCGTGGACTCGGATTTGATCCATACATTCTAGTTTCCTTCGGGGAGTCTGATTTCTTCGACTCCTCCACGTTTCCTGGCTTCTCTGGTTTTCTCCATGTACCTGGACATCACGTTCTCTGGGTTCCCCGGTTTCATGCATTTCCTCCGATATTTTTAAGGAGGTTTCCTCCCGGATTTTCTGCATGTACCTCCCCTACTCTGGTTTTATCTCTGTACTTTGGTTTCCTTGGAATACTCTGGTTTTATCTGCTTACTCCAATTTTCAGCATGGAGTCTGTTTTTTTTTTTTATTCACTCTTCTGTTGGTGAGTCTGTTCTTCTCCAGAAACTCCAGTTTTCACTGCCGACTCCAATTCTCTCCAGGCACATCCTGGTCTTTCAATGACCAACCCAGCGAATGTCATAATCTACCATAGATGCCAGTCGCTAAAACAATCCTAAAAAATGCTAATACAATGTCAAAACTCTTATGTCGTACTATCTGATTACTAAATGTTATTACGCACTCTGTATATATCCGCTTTGGATCGCAATCATTGAAAAACAAAAGCGAAAGGAATGCTGATTTCCTCGTGAGGCTTTCTTTCAAAGCGCAGATGTGCGCCCACCCATCGGAAATGAAAGTCTCCCCACCCTACCATTCTAACCTCCAAACAGTAAGAAGTGTTTGTTTTTTTTTCCAACGTGTCGGCTCACTGGGGAGATGATTTAGTGTGTGATTTCGTGAGGAGATTCCTCGGTGGATCCCGCTAGGACGGGTCGTAGGAGATTGGGAGGAGAGATGAGTGGAAATGACGAGCGGAGTCATTTGATGGGACAGCGGTCCTGATCATATGACTTTGCTTGCTTCCACCTGCATGCCCTCGACATGGAACCATCCTGAAGATGAAACGTGCTGCGGGTTGTGTGAAGAGTCAGTGTGTAAGCCTCAGGGCAGCAAAGTCAGCGACTGATCTCATTTGGCCACAGATGGAGTCCTAAAACACTTCTGTCGGCTGACAAATACATATT